AAAACTTGATATATTATAAACTCGTATGGTTCGATTCCATCTGTGTTCAACATTCTCAGGGGTATGTAAAGGCTACCTCGTTTCCCTAGATTCTAAGGAAAGGCAAAGTTGTCCGAATTCTTAATCAACACCTCGCCATGAACACGAACATTTGGTAGATGTTTACAGATATATGAAATACACTGCTTTACGATCTCTCAGATTGAGCGAATTTGCGTCATCTGATTATTTTAAGATACATTTTGATATATTTTCCTTTTGTGAAAGACTGATCTGTTTTCATATCCCTGGAATTGGTCATCCTGCAGATAAAACCTGAAAATAATAAAAAAATATCTTTTGGTACATCATCCCTCCTCCTAGAAGGATGCTCCACCCTCTACCTCCCACGCCTTCGCCAACCCTTGTTGATCGTCTTTTTTGTTGAGCAGTGAGAAGGATGAATATTAGAAATGTGAACACTTTTTACATTTTCCTCAAGCGTATCTGTATTAAAATGAGGTACAATTCTTTCGGAGTTGTCTACCTGTGGTTTAGATTATTGCCAGTTGATTTTCATCATCATTTTAAGAACGCTTCTGAAGATAAACAGAAATGTATTTTTATTTGTCCTTTGTGATTATTTGCTTACGACTGACCTTGGTTGATATTTTATTTAACGACGCTTATTTAGTGACTCACACTATAGCCTCGGCTGAGAGGATAGTGAATAATGAATTCCAAAGGATATGGAAAGAAGTTTTTAGCCTAATTTAAGGTAGAGTTCGGCATTGGTCTGGAGAGAGTGAGGAAAACCACAGATAACCTCAGGTAAGATGGCCCGGTCTCCGGACCGAAATTTCAACCCACGATATCCCGAATACGAAGCAGGGATTCTAACTGCTCTACCTTCACGTTCGGACGCCTTGGTTGTTAAATGTTACATAGCTAATACCACGCTATATATATATATATATATATATATATATATATATATACACATACACACGATCGGTTATGGTAGCTCCGTCAGAAACACAGATAACCTCAATGCATTCCCATAACCAAGACACATATTTCTTATCAATTTTGAAAAGTATAATTTTCATCTTTGGGGAACGTGACATT